ATCCTGGTAATGTGTTGCAGCTGAGTAATATTTGAATTTATGATTCACCGGCTAGTTAATGGCTTGAGATTTTTGATGTATAATGTATTACAAAGACACGAATAACGTCGTTTCTTTTATTAGTGTAATGACGCGCAAGAGTTATGGCAACACTAGCAATGTTTCGGATATGCTCTGTAATTCAGTCTCTGAAATATTTAAATATAAGTACGTAGGGAGAAAACCTGCTTAAAGATTTATAACCAACCAGAAAAATATTGAATACCTATTTTAGATGTTCTTTACTTGAGCAGAGTACGTAAATACTGGACGATATTAATTTAATTATTGTAATGATAATATTATGGAAAAGTATTTTCCAGATTAAATAAGTAATGCTGCAAAATATCCCGTGATCTCTGTTATAAAAACCGGCAACATAAAAATGTCCACCTACACCTGATATCCCAGTCAAATGAATAATCAAGCAAGAGTGGGTGTTTTTTCCACTTCAGAACGCCAGAGTGCAGGAGCGTGAGCAGCACGGCAGGTGCTGCGGTCACGGTAGCTGGGGACACAGTGACGGGACAGCGCACGGCCAGCCTACCTCAGCCCTCTCAGGCGCGCTGTGTCGAGGGAGGGAGCCGAGCCCTCCATTTATGCCCTCATACGAGGGTGTCCTATCCAGGTGCCGCCCCCTACATAAAGGGGGCTGCTACGTTAGAGCTGTTGTGGCCACAACGAGTTATTGTAAGGCCTTCGTAAACACTCACAATATCGTTACATTGTAGTGACAGCGGGTGAAGAGAGAGGGATAAAAATGTGGACCCTTTTTTTTGTCAGTGAAGAACTCCGATAAAACGCGCGGGAGTTTCCTGCACTAGCAGGGCTATGCACTGATGATTAGTGGACTGGTAGAGCGTTGTGCAGTGGCCAAATGTATTTGTGAATTGGTGAAACATTTTACTGTCAAGTTGACTTGCAAGTTCAGTTTAAAAATTTATAGAGTCATACAGTTTTTGCATCGTATTTATGCTGCGGTGCGCCTCAAACCAAACAAAAGTTCGAAAATTTTCAGACACAAAAAAAGGCTGTCAAATTTCATCACGAAGTAGCAGCAGCAAAATCGAAAAAAACTTTTGGATTTGTCAGCAGCGTCATGTGGGTGTCGAATGATGGTTTCTCGAGAACAGCGATACTAAATTTACTCTAGATTGAAAATATTCGTATTTTATGATGTACAGGGTGTCCCAAAAAAACGATATTCAACTTTGAATGGCTGTAACTCAAAAAGTAACAGAGTTAAACAAATTTGGAAGGTCAGGATTTATTTCCTATGTTATTTTCCATTTCTCCACCAAAAATCAGACAGACCGATGTAGCCATAAGCGTTTGATAGAACTTTCAGTGACGTGTGCTAAAATCGTGCTTGCGCAAAGTTTCAGTAAGATCACTTTGCATAATCACTACGTTGTCTTGACATGTTTTTTTTTTGCTATTTTATTTTTTGTATCTTTGGTGAGACAAAAACATGGCAATCTTCGGTGAGAGGCAATCATGACAATCTTTGGTGAGACACAATCATGGCAATCTTTGGTGAGACACAATCATGACAATCTTTGGTGAGAGGCAATCATGACAATCTTTGGTGAGACACAATCATGGCAATCTTTGGTGAGAGGCAATCATGACAATCTTTGGTGAGAGACAATCATGGCAATCTTTGGTGAGAGACAATCATGGCAATCATTGGTGAGAGACAATCATGGCAATCTTTGGTGCGACAAAAACATGGCAATCTTTGGTGAGAGACAATCATGGCAATCTTTGGCGAGAGGCAATCTTTGGTGAGAGGCAATCATGACAATCTTTGGTGAGAGACAATCATGGCAATCTTTGGACAATCAGGACAATCATGGCAATCTTCCAAAGATTGCCATGATTGTCTCACCAAGAATTGCCATGATTGTCTCTCACCAAAGATTGCCATGACTGTCTCTCACCAAATATTGCCATGATTGTCTCTCACCAATGATTGCCATGTTCTTGTCTCACCATAGATTGTCATGATTGTCTCTCACCAAAGATTGCCATGGTTGTGTCTCACCAAAGATTGTCATGATTGCCTCTCACCAAAGATTGCCATGTTTTTGTCTCATCAAAAATACAAAAAATAAAACAGCAAAAAGAAAACATGTCAAGACAACGTAATGATTATGCAAAGTGATCTTACTAAAACTTTGCGCAAGCACGATTTTAGCACACGTCACTGAAAGTTCTATCAAACGCTTATGGCTACATCGATCTGTCTAATTTTAGGTGGGCAGATAGAAAAAAACATAGGGAACAAATCCTGACCTTCCAAATTTTTTTAACTATATTACTTTTCGAGTTACAGCCATTCAAAGTTGAGTAGCGTTTTTTTGGGACACCCTGTATGTGGGTATGAATATCACTGATTACGTTATTATTTTCTGAAACAACTACTACATTCAGCCCAGAAATCTAAGTACTTGTAAAATTTACAAATTTATTAATCTTTTCCAGTGTTTTCTGAGTCCTAGGAGATATTTACGGACAGATATTATGATCACTCATGGATATGACTTGTTTTCATGAGTGTTTATTCACTCAGGATCTGTTATTAACACTGAAGCATTTGTAGGCACGGCAGGCCTGCTGCTGATGTGGGCATTGTCGTCCCAGAAATAACGTCCAGCCACATCAAGGTTTCTCGTGCTATACGCAGCTCTCTTATGACCAAACGCTGCTATTTATCCATCATGAAAGAATAAATCCTTTTCTCTGCTCTTACTTCGTCTATGAGTTTTTTGTTGTCGGTTGTTCAGAAGATCCAAAACATACGTCCAGCACCTTCAGTAATTATGTCTCAAAGAGGCTTGATATCTCAATTACTTCCATGAACATCCAGAGTATTATAAGAGAAACTTGTTAATGGCAAAGTATTTATGAATATAATTCACGAACATCTTTAGTAGTTTTGTCATTTTACTTGATAATTATTAAAATACGTTAATCTGGCTGAAAACCTTGTAGGCAAAATATCGTATTTATCTATTGTTTAGTTCTAAATTAAGAAAAGTGGCGTGAATGAGGGCTATAAATCCGATCACTATAGTGCAGTTATCATGAACGGAATTTTCATTACAATAATAAAGTTGACTTAGACCATTTCAGTATCAATGTACTGCAGCATATATAGAACATTTATGCTGCACTATACTGCAGTTCACGTTTGCAATTTACAGTATATAGCACTAACTGGATTTGACATCGTCCATTTTTGCAGCAATATGTCGCAGTTGACATCGACCATTTGTGGAGCGCTATGGTGTAGATCATTAATTGACTGAATAACTTATTTATGTTTACAGCGTTGCGTTGGCAGTATAGAAACATTGGTAATGGTTGAGCTAGTAAACATTAGTAATGGTTACTTTCAAATTATTGTACAGTATCATGTAAAGTATCTTCACTCCAGTTCGCTTTTCTGTGGAGGACCAGCCAGTCTGATTCTTTCTAAATATTCTCAGTTTTGCCTCATACATCATGTAAATCTCTCCAGATCATAAACGTCGAAATTATAAGCGACAGTTGTGGGTCAATGGCTTTGGGGTAAATTCTTTCAAAAATATATGAACAACTTGACGATGTTCATACCTTTATTCAACGTGTTCAAAAATGTATGATAGGCCTATGCATCTTTTAAGGTATTCATACCCATTTTATTAATAATTACTGAGATTAAATTCAATTAGTTGTGAGTCAGATATCAAAAATATTTAGCATAAATGCTATAGCATTAATTCGACCTTATCGTTTAATAATGAAGATTTTCTCAGATTTTTTATTACATTGGAACGCTTCACTTTTTTCTATAACAATTGCACAATGTATAGCATTTTCTCCTCTGTATTTTGTATTTCACCATCGCAACTTGCAGAATTATCTTTCCAAATTTCTCGACACATAATGGAATTGTATCGCGTTTCAACGATTATCGAGTTTTTCACCATAAGCTATTTATTACGGAAACCCAAATAACTTAATTTTAATTTTAATCTTTGTTAATTTGTTAGGCAAAATAACGCAAATAAACTATTTCCCGGTATTTCATAGAGCCGAAACTTGAAGAAGTGTTTCTGCTGTTGCCAGATTGTTTTTCTGCGAGAACATCGTTCAGTAAATGCTATCATAACCCGGACAAAAAAATGAGGGTATTTTTCCAATTTCCATTTTGACAGTAGATTATATCAATTATGTTTCTTATTCATTATATCAATTATCACTAAATGATATAGTATATTATCTTATCACTAAATGTTAAGATGGACTGAATTAATCGTTACAAATACTCTCATTTTTTCTAATGTCTTGATGTTAGCTTGTGATGTATGAATTTTTAATCTTAATTAAACCCCTCACGAGTTGATGCCTACCATTTTATTTAACATTTTTAGGCAAATTCACAAGATGTAGCTCTAAATATTAGCATCGATTATCCACATACGACACATCAATTAGACATTTTATGGCTCGTGGCTCTGATCGAGTTCGTCATAACAACACGCTGAAGGTTTTTAATTACTGCACATTATTTTAATTGATTGCAAATCAATATTTGCATGTATGCGCTAATGATTGCTTATATTCACTGCCCCGAAGTAGCATGTGCACTGTGCAGTGTTCTCTGGAGAGTTTTCTGGTCTGAAGTTATCGGAACGGATTCTGGTCTGAAGTATCTAAAAGGTTTCTGGTCTGAAGTGTCGAAAAAGTTTCTGGTCTGAAGTTATCGGAACGGATTCTGGTCTGAAGTATCTAAAAGGTTTCTGACATGAAGTGTCGAAAAAGTTTCTGGTCTGAAGTGTCGAAAAGGTTCCTGGTCTTAGGTGTCGGAACAGTTTCTGGTCTGAAGTGTCGGCACGGTTTCTGGTCTGAAGTGTCGGAACAGTTTCTGGTCTGAAGTGTCGGCACGGTTTCTGGTCTGAAGTGTCGGCACGGTTTCTGGTCTGAAGTGTAGGAACAGTTTCTGGTCTGAAGTGTCGGCACGGTTTCTGGTCTGAAGTGTCGGCACGGTTTCTGGTCTGAAGTGTAGGAACGGTTTCAGGTCTGAAGTGTCGAAACGGTTTCTGGTCTGAAGTATCGGATCGATTTCTGGTCTGAAGTGTCGAAACAGCTTCTGGTCTAAAGTGTCGAAAAGGTTTCTGGTCTTAAGTGCCAGCACGGTTTCTGGTTTGAAGTGTTGGAACGGGTGCTGGTTTGAAATGTCGGAACGGTTTCTGGTCTGAAGTGTCGAAAAGGTTTCTGGTCTGAAGTGTCGAAAAGGTTTCTGGTCTGAAGTGTCGGAACAGCTTCTGACCCTGAAGTACCGGCACGGTTTCTGGTCTGTAGTGTCGGAACGATTTCAGGTCTGAAGTGTCGAAACAGCTTCTGGTCTGAATTGTCGGAACGGTTTCTGGTCCATGTGTCAGGACGGATTGTGGTCCTATTCATTCATACCGAATTCATTGTTATGAATTAATTCCACCTACTTTAGTTGTAACCATCAATGCACTTCCATTCCTTGCGTCCGAATTGTTTCAAACGTTGTAAATCCTAAAATGTCGTGGCAAGGCACAATGACGCCAGAGTTGCTTCACAATCGTCATCGGAAAGCTTGTAATGGTTATCTGCTTTCCCTTTTCCGAAGAGCTCCAACGAGCCGGCAGAGAAGCCAGATATTTCTATCGACTCCACCTTTCGTCCACTGAGCCACGTAAACGAACCTGTGAATTTCGTTGCGCCGAACCAGAAGTCTCCCGACGAGGCTAAAATGAAGCGTAAATAAATTATTCATGATTAAAATCGCTGTCATAAGCACAATAATTGGCATATTTATGTTGGAGACAGAGACAATAGACAATAAGAGCAGAAGCGATATTTTAAACGTAAACCATCCGAATACACAGTATAACGAACTAAAAAAAACATTAATAATAGGGAGAAATGACTGCAAGTTAATAGGGAGAAATGACTGCAAGTATCACCGTAAGCAGCAAGGATCGAGCTCAGTTGTGTGACGTCCTGTGCAGCGTTGGGGTAGAAAAGATCGGCGCCGAAGTCCATGCAGTTCTGACGAGCAGCCGAGTATGTCAAACGCGTCGTCACGATCAGCAGGCAGCCTAGCGAAGTCGAGATGAACCCGTGTTCGCCACACGCGGTCATCTTCACTCGAGCAGTGTCTGTTCAAACAAAAAATACTCATTGAAAAGGATATGTGATGGGGAAGTACAAAATGGTCTCCGAGTTCAGCTTAATGGCCTTTTGTGTCTGAACCGATAGAGCGCATTGACTGAAGTAATGTTCTCGGTATTAAGCCTAATAACCTTTTGTGCCTGAACCGATAGAGCGCATTGACTGAAGTCTTGCTCAAGAAGTTTAGCACCATTAGAGTTAGATAATCAATTGCAATGTGGTCATTGAATTCCGCAACAGTATTTATGAGTGCTTTGTCTTCACCAACCAATAACCTCAACAAATTACAATCTTTTATATTCTTGGATGACGACCTTGCCCTCAAAGTTATATCTCTACCAGTGATCAGGTAAAGATTCTTTCGTTACATTATAATTAGTTTATTCGTCTTTTCAGATTAATTGCATTGAACAGTCGTCATATATTAAATATTATGCCTCTGACTTCTTAAATTTTTCCATTCATCACTAGTAAAAAAACTTTATTAGTCTCAAATGCTCGGTTACAGTTGATATTTCGGCTGCCATATCATCCAATCGTGAATTTTAGTAATGTTTTGATTAAAACTTTTACAAATCGTTATTCATGCATATTTTTCTGTTGACAACAGAAGTGCATGAATCAGAGAGTGAAAATGTACATAGGAAAAAGAAATTTACAATGAAACAATAGCTAGGAAGTTAAAAAGTTAATATAAATTACAAGAAGATTTTGGCGTCAGCGGAAAAATAGCAAGTGAGACGAAAGTCATTTTATAGAAATAGAAAAAATGGAATTAAATAAAAGCATGTGAGAAAAATAGCATGTGAGAAAAATGAAAACGATGACCGCTTTTCATCCTCAGCATTTGGCTGCAATAATATAGAAAAATCATCGATAGTAATTTTAATATTAATAAAAATCATCTCCGGAAATCATCTATAATAATTATAAGTGCTTATTGACCATTCAACTATTCAAACAATTTTATGAATCATTTGTTCCATTGTTAACAACAATTCAGCAAATAATTGCTGAGAGTAAGTTATCCAACCATTAGGGATAAATGTTTAAGGAAAACTGTTCTTTTAATCAATTACCTGATAAAAAAATTAATGAATTTTTAAAGATAAATTATTAGGTATTTTTGAATTAATCGGTCAGTAAAGAGTCTCACCATTAAGCCTAACGACGCCATCATCATAGCAGGTATATTTGTACCCGTTGCTGCAGGTCTTCTCGAAACTTCCTTCGCCCACAAAGAGCCGTCGAGCTGTCGGCTGCGATGGGTTAACGCATCCTGCCAGTGAAGGCAAAATCTATCAAAACAGTTTATTTTAATGATGATTACTCATATTACTAAATTGTAATTCGCAGAATTTTGCTCTTTAGAAACAGTGGTTAATGACATGGGGGTTGGTTTCACCAATCTCTAGTTTCGTGAACATATTTAGGTACGAATCATAACCAACCTAAAATATCAGACTGGTTATGATTCATCGAAAGTTTTAAAAGCACGAATGAAAAATTCAAATTTAATTAAAATCGCCTTTGTTCATGAATATGCTTCAATATATTAATAAAAAGTACACAAGTGTTGGAAATCAGCGAAAAAGAAACTCACGTTTTAGAAAAGCCGTCATCTTGCAGGCGCCAGTTTTATTTACTTCAGTCTCCCCCACCGAGAGAGCATCAAACCCCCACAGGTTGCACGTTCCACCGTCGTAGCACAGCAGGTCAGCCCAGTCGTTCACTATGGTCAAAGCCACACAGAATCGCTCAGACGATACGGCGATAGATTTCTGCTGCAGTGCTGTATTGGCCCGTATCTTGGTTTGGTTTGTGACGCACGATTCCCATATCCTCTCAGGAAACGTGGCACCTACACAGACTAGAACAGATACCAGTAACGACAAGCGAAGAACCATCGTACCGGGTGCCTGTGAGGCGTGGCGCTGAAAATCATAGGCAGACTTCATAAACCGTAACACAGCTTTGTACATCCCAATAGTCATCATTCAAACTAATATATAATATAAAATAAATATAATATAAGTATATTATAAAATATATTTTATAGGTATATATAAAAATAATATAAAATATATTATAATTCAAATATGAATATATAGTATATTATTTGTATATTATTTATAATATATACCATGTAATATAGAAGATATGCAGAAAAGCTAGTCAACTAATCTCTGAATGTTCAAACCAAAGTTGCCTTGTCGATCACAGTTGTTTCTACGCATAAAATCACCGTATAAACATAGCTAAATAAACTCTTTTGTAACATACTCGAGAACTCCAGCGCTCTATAGTATTCTGAGTAGGAGACTACTACTCGTATAAGTATAATCAGGAAGCGATGTTTGATAGACAAGTTTTTAGCTTCTCAGTGATTACAACGGAACCACTGAAAATAAAGTAACAATTGTTAACTAAATGCTAGCTGTCTGAGGAATTATTTCTAAGCTAATCAGTCATGAGTAACTCAAATTGTTAGAGCTTCACTACATATATGTTTATTTACATTCAATTACAATGCTTGGAGGACTGAAAATCAGTAGGAACCGAAGTGAGTGGACAGTTGTCGCTAAATGCGGACAGCGAGGTGGATGCAGTGGACGACTCTTCAAAAGCCGTTGCGTGGCGACTTCGTTCTTTGTTTGCGAAAACGCACTCGTTTCATTGATTATTGACAGTGAATGATTTTACCCTGAGGAGATGCGATGAAATATATGCCCTTGGTGCAGTTATTTGAAACCTTAAATGCGCCTTGGAATTGAACATCTTTGACTTAGTAATTCAACCCGCGTCGGTACTGCCCATTTGCAGCGATTGACCATGACAAGCAAACGCGGAAAATTTTGCATGGCTTACTGCGTCTATTGCTGAGTCAGAGCTCTGACCCATTACAAAACGGTCATGCGTTTTTGGTTAAAATTTATTTCGGATAATAACGTCAGAAATCGTTGGGATTCCGCTAAACCCAGATCCATGGCAGATCTGTACCCCTTACAGTGTACACGTAGTGCTCAAAAGCACAAGGCTATAAATGCGGTAAAGTGACCGAACGAATCGTTTGAATACCTTTCCTCACTCACGGTATTAATAGATTTTCACTTAACAAAAGGCCCATGAAATGACCGTTATTACCTCGGGTAAACATTTGAATCCGTCTAGTGAATTGCGCTCGAACTAAGTGACTAATGCATTGTGCTATCAATTGGTGATTGCACAGTGAGCCAGCAATGATTGACTGGTGCAATGTGCCAGCAATGAGTGATTCTAGTGCACTGTGCCAGCAATGGGTGATTCTAGTGCACTGTGCCAGTATTGGGTGATTCTAGTGCACTGTGTCAGCAATGGTTGACTGGTGCATTGTGCCAGCAATGAGTGATTCTAGTGCACTGTGCGTGTGCCAGCAATGGGTGATTCTAGTGCACTGTGCCAGCAATGGGTGATTCTAGTGCACTGTGCTAGCAATGAGTGATTCTAGTGCACAGTGCCAGCAATGGTGCTCATAGTGCACTGCGCCAGCAATGGTGGTAATCTTGGTAATCTTGGTACTTGTTTGGGACATAGCAGTCCCAGGCCGCGATGGATCGCCGCCTCTGATTATCGTTCATCCGCCCTCATTTGGGCCACCTGATGCACGATGCTGTTGCTTGCTTCTCGCCGATGGTAGTGTTGCAGGGGAGGTCAATCTGGGATTGTGCCCAGGAAAACGTCCAGTTGTCTCTTGAAGGTCTCTCTTAGAGACCATCTAATGGTGAACTCCCCCTCTCTTAGCTCCTTTTGTAGGACGTTGAACAGCCTTGGTCCTGCCACGGAAAGTGATCCTTCCCGCAGGGATTGAAATCTGACTGCGGATCTGTTACGTGGGGCGGGATCTTGCACAGTCTCCCCCTTCTCTCGTTGTGATATGTCTCAATCCTGAAGGTCTCGCTCTCGAAGTTTGGCACCATTCCGGTTATCATTTTCCATGTGTACAGAATGACATACCTCTCCCGTCTCCTCTGCAGTGAGTACAGACCCAGGCGCCTCAACCTCTCCCAGTAGTTCAACTCTTCTATCCCTCTGATCCTGGAAGTGAAGGTTCGCTGGACACCTTCCAGTTGCCGCACTGCGCCGAGTGTGAACGGGGTCCAGAGCTGGCAGCAGTATTCGAGTGATTCTAGTACACTGTGCCAGTAATGGTGATTCTAGTGCACTGTGCCAGCAATGGTGATTCTAATGCACTGTGCCAGCAATGAGTGATTCTAGTGCACTGTACCAGCAATGAGTGATTCTAGTGCACTGTGCTAGCAATGAGTGATTCTAGTGCACTGTGCCAGCAATAGGTGATTCTAGTGCACTGTGCCAGCAATGGGTGATTCTAGTGCACAGTGCCAGCACTGGGTGATTCTAGTGCACTGCGCCAGCAATGGGTGATTCTAGTGCACTGTGCCAGCAATTGGTGATTCTAGTGCACTGCGCCAGCAATGGGTGACTCTAGTGCACTGTGCCAGCAATGGGGGAATCTAGTGCACTGTGCCAGCAATGGGTGATTCTAGTGCACTGCGCCAGCAATGGGTGATTCTAGTGCACTGCGCCAGCAATGAGTGATTCTTGATTGTTCTCATAGATGCGATTCTGAAAACTTTTACGAGGACGTCTTATTGCCACGCGCCACTTCATTGATTTGACGCATTTGCAGAATGGCCGGATATCTTGTGGAAGGCGAGTTTTACATGCCTTAAACTTCAATGTGTTTAAAATTTATACTGTGCCCAAAAATATCCTAATGTGAAATTTATTGATCTCCACACGACATACCCACAAAACGTACTGCAAATTCCCATGAAATCTTGAATTAAAACGTGGTGATAGGTTTACTTAAAATTCAAATTAATTAAACGTACTTTAATTTCAAAATATGCACTGCCAATACTGTATAAGTTTAGGTAACATATCTCAATCTTATTTCTTGCTAAGTGCAATTCGCGATGGCCGCATTTCACGCCCAACCTTAAACATGTACGAATATTAGAACAGAAGAAAAAAAATGTTCTGCTTGGTTAGCCTGTCATTTCATAACGTAGTCGCAGCTGTCTCCCTCTGCATTAGCAAGCCCAAACGATCTGACCGCTCAATCACTCTAAAAAATTTTTTTTATCTACAAATAAAAAGGGCCAAGAACTGCTCATTTAAAAAGCTCAAAGCCACGTTTATATTATATATTGTGTTCATGTGCCAAACATGCTCTGGGCTTCTAAAAAAACGCAGAACTGACTTGCACGCCAATCATTTATGAAACCATTCATATTCATGTACCCATAATCGAAGTTCGCACGAATTTCACCATCGAGACTTGACTTCGATGACCGGACTTTAATAATGTCTTTTGCTAACGCACCTAATATTTTCGTTCTAGAAATTATTAGAACTTGAATACATATTGTCGTCTGAAGTGACTGCATGAATTTAATGCAGATTTTTATTAAATTTTGGGACGTCTAACGCCACCATTTTAGTCTGGCTTTTTCCAAAGTCGCAAATGCACTTTTTTATTGATTGATGCAATGGGAATTTATGCCTCACATCGACATGATTATATGTTTCTTTAAAGACCCCAGGATGGATGGATTAAAGTTGAGTGAAATTACTCGAAACGCTTGAAGGAAATAATGGAGCGACTTTGCATGGGAACGACTAATGCACAGAGATGCATGCGTCGAGCGCTTCATTGATGGAATTGATTTCATCATAACTATGATAAACTATTCACGCATTTTTCCGGTAAGCTAATGTCGCCGGATATTTACCAGTAACTACTAGGATCAGTTTCCGACACCCAATAGAATGACCGGATTACAGTGCATTTGGGCAATTCGTGACATTAATAGTGGTCAGTAAATGCATCATGTCGTACTAAAATTTTTTTAAAACATTTTCCGTTTTTTAACACCGTTCTGCAAAATTCATTCATAACATTCGACAATAATTTAAAGTAGTATTTACCATAACTGCGTACCTAAAATTTAAATGATGACTAAGGAAATCGACTAAAAGTGAACACATGAGTAAAATGTTCTGAATATTTATGTGTTCCGTCTAAACGTGTAATGAGTTACTGTTATCTTACATGGGTTAAGTGTGTCTAAACATACTATTATCTAAGAATAGAAAAGCATGTTAGAAGCTATTATAACCGTACATGTACGAAATTAAAGTGCAATGAACGGAGGTTAAATTGGCGAAGTGTAAAAACTTACTCAATATTTAATTGTGACAATGTTAAAAACATACTAATATTTAACATCATCAAAGCGTTTAAAGAATTCATCACTCCCACTATCATTACGCAACTGAAACCGAAACCCCCAAAAGAAATTGTATCTCCACCAAACTCGAGAAATGTTATTTTACCACTGCGAAATTATACCAAAAATATCATATGTCGGTCTAGTCGTTTCAGAATTCGGGAGTTAACGAAAAACTCCCTCTATTAAGGTAGATATTCATTAAACTATGAACTAAACACTTCTACAACTGCGCAGTAAGGGTGAAGTGTGTGCGTTAATTCGTTCCCTAGCCTAACGTAACTAACCTGACCTAACGTAAAATTATCATGAATTTGATAAAAATTACTCATAACTAAAACCCACGGTCAAGTCTTGGAAAAGAGATGGGATCGATGAAATGAGGAGAGCAAAGACTCTTGTCTTCTTGAGACCTGTTGACATTTTGACTCCTGAAATAGACTAGGATCTTAACCCTTTCGTGACCGACGGGACTTCTCGGTCCCAAACCACTAGGTACGAATAGCATTGACGACGGTAAATGTATCCGTGACGAAATTAACATTGACTCCTAACAAACCTAAAATGGCTGGAAGTATTTCGTACGCGGAGAAATTTTCAATTTTTTGTAACCCAACGGTTCTTTTCGATTTTCCACAATATTGCTCCCGAGTAAACATAGAGCCAGCAGTATAATCCTGGAAATTATTAATATTCAGTAGTAAAACGATGTCTGCATATGCAGCAGTAGAGGTCCAGTGATGTTCCAATAGTTGTGCTCATCTGTACAATGTACATTAGAGTCCGAGTGATGTTCCAGTGCTTGGGTTCATCTGTACAGAAGAGGCCCAGTTATGCTTCATTGCTTATGTTCAACCGTACTCAAGCTCACATGAACAAACAAGTTCATTAATCAAGCAGCTCCACATGGGGGGAGCGCAGCCGTGCACCACCAATTTTGTACACCAATAAGCCGTGAATCGAACGCCATGGATCTCTCCGGATATCCACCAATCAGCCGTGCACCACTCGGCTTTGTCCTCCTCCTGCCTTGACCACCACCTGCCGTGCACCTCCAGGCCGCGGATCGAATCTGACTTCTGGGCATCGTTAAATTACGTAATTTTACGTTCACCGCATCAGAGGTTAGGTTTCAGATAGCATAGTTCTGTTCCAAAATTTATCGTCCTTCGACAAGTTGCCGTTCGACCGAGGGCTGGTTCGACCCACGTCCTAGATACGGACGGCTTGAATTGTTGAAGGCTTCGTTCCGGAAGACAGGAATCATGATGGTCCATTACATCCAGGGCAGTTGTGGTCTTCGGCAGGCGACCCCACATGGGCATTCGATTGCAGTCTGAGTCCGGGTCCGGGTTCCATCTTCGGTCAGCGACTTCTTGCGGATTCTGCAAAAGATGGTAAGATTATCTAATGCGAATTCGTAATTTGTATTTTGATATGTGCTGTATCATTGCATTCCCCCTCAGGGTGGATTTCTGACACATGTCTGTGATCCTCAGAAGTCCTATGGGATTTCCCGTTCCTATTGGGATTGTTCCTGAGCGCCCCACCGCCGAGCTCGCGGTGTCTGACTGCAGGTCTCAGTTGTGGGGTTAAGTTATTATTAGGTAGGATTTTCACCAGTCCCTCCTTGTCACTTCGTCTCTTTGAGATGCTAACGCTGCTTCCTTTGAGCCAGCTTCAGCGGGCTGGACCATTGAGACCTTCCATTCCCTGTGGATGATGATTAATTTGAGCCTTTGAATAATTGAGACCTTCCGCTACGCTGGCGATGTTATCTTTGGACCTACGGTGCGAAATGGCTTGATAGCTGAAGCGCTAGCCATCCCACCAGACATCTGACGTTGTTGTTGTGGTTACCCGGTCTCACTTTTACAAGAGACCCCCCTCGCGCAAGTACGACACCACCGACAGGGGGTCGCTCCATAGCTGTAGGGTCGAGGTTAGGTGGTGGTGTTGTCTGAGGTCTTGCCAGAGTGGACATTCCAGGAGAATGTGAGTGATTGTGTAGGGAGCTCTCAGGCAGGACGGACAGGTGTCTGAGTCTGCTTGGCCGATTCTGTTTGCGTATGTTTGTAGTGAAGGATGGCGGCCGCAGCGCAGCCTGGCTAGGTGTACTCTCTCCAGTCTAGAGAGCTGGGTTTCTGTGCTGCTTATGTTAGGTGGTGGGTGTCCAAGGACTTTGTTGTTGCCGGCCAGCTCCAGCGTTCTAAGTGTTTCTTCTAAACATCTGACGTTGAATTGAACGTCGTTTCGTTGAATCTCATCAGCTTGGCCACTAGTGACCTTCCACTCCTAGTGGGTAATGAACGATTATGATTTTGGAAAGTATAAATAATTTTCATCTTTCCTGTTGTTGGACAGGTTTATTCGTGAATCCGATGCGAGATAGATCGATCCCTAAAGCTGCTATTCCGGTCTATTTATTTATAACCATTTGTCAACTAAAAAAACAATCTAAACTTGTCCAAACAGTTGCTTTACACGTCTCTGGTATCACACCAACTGCTCGGCTCATTCTTACAAATATCCAATCTGCAAACGTCATATCCTACACCAACTGGCGAACCAAGTTTTTTTATGAAATATGCTATAATTTGATTCACTTTTTTCTAACCTCATACACGATTCTTGCAGGTCAGTAATTAATATCCTCGTGTGATTTATCCTATTTCAAACCTCATTCTGTCTACCAGGAAAAATCATGACCACGCTGTCGAAATTAAAATACTCAACTTTCAAAAAGACACTACGGAGGAGAACAAAGTCTTTCAGGACAACTAGATTAAAACAAAGATAGCGATTATATCGAGAGATCTGTAACATCGAGCCAGCTGGTACCGACGGCCTTATGCAAGGACTTGGGAAGCGTACAGCCGACTGCATTGATTTTGATACTACATACTAGTAAGGTATAAAGAACCTATCCATGAAAAGCGTTTTTGACTAACTAGGAGGCGGCAAGACAATGATGCTCATATTGAAAGAATGGCCTCTAAATTAGGAATTTCAGAGCACATGCCCTGGCAGGTAGGTGGAGGGAATGGACCAAATTCCAATGAAATACAGGGTCATCAATATTTAGCGTTACATTTTTTTCAAAATCAATACACTCGCAAAACAGTCAAATGTGTCGTATGGAACCATGGCGACTGTTCTCCGGAAGGACCTATAGTTGTCCCCATTCAAACATGTCAAAAAACACCAACTGTCTGCTCAAGTTGTTGACAAACGTCTCCAAAGATCCAAGATTCTTCTTTCCCGCATTCATGATGGCACGTTGCCAAACCTCGTTTTCAGTGATGAGAAGATATTCAATGTTGAACACCACTTCAACTCCCAAAATTATCGATTTTGGTCGGAGAATGGGACGAATGATCCCGTGTGGTGACTAGGAAGCAATGCCCGACCTCAGTGATGGTCTGGGCAGCCGTAACAGAGTCCTCAAGGAGTCCCCTCTTTTTTGAATCAGAAGAACTATCGAGATGCCATCCTTGTTGATGCATTGTTGCCCTGGGCACGAAAGCACTTCAAAAAAACGCCCCTGGTCGTTCCAGCAGGACTCTGCACCATCCCATGGGGCCATATCGACTCAGGAGTGGCTGTCCGAGAATGTTCCCCACTTCATTACCAAAGATGAATGGCCCCCATCGTCACCCGATCTGAATCCTCTGGATTTTGGGATCTGGTCATACCTTGAGAGTAAGGTCTCGACCGTTCACCATAGCAGTTTGGACGCCCTAGAGGTCAAACTGCTGAAAAAGTGGGCCAAAATCCCGCAGAGTGTCATTCGTGACTCGTGTAAGGTTTTCTCTAAGCATCTACAACTCGTTATTGATGCAGATGGTGGACATATTGAATGAAATTGTGGGAATTGTATCTCTGAACCTCTGCCTACATAAATACATTTTCAAACATTCACAATTGCGTTTCATTTCATAGTTCTGACCACTCAAAGTTGTAACGCTAAATATTGATGACCCTGTAATACGTAAGAGACCGACAATTGGATTTGAAAGCACGAATACCAGATTTTTTTTCAAACTTGATGTGAGCCCTAGACTCTATATGGCATACGCTCCACTTGCACCAACATCGGTGTCGACGACATGTGACTCTATACCCATCATGTGCTACTCCGAGGTTCCCCTCTGGTATTTGAACCTCATTACACATGGATTATGAGAGCCTCATATATTGACCAGTTATATTCTACTTTATCAAAATAAGGCGAGGATAAATGTGTCAATTTTTCAAGAAGGTTTACAATAAAAACAGTACAATCAAGCTGGCTTTATAGTTCGTGTCACCAGAACACGAAAATTATTATGACAAATTGCTAATAAAAAATATCTTTTTACACACAGTAAAGGACAGCATCACTGGCACCGAAGGAGACTCAAGATTCACTCGATAACAGCTACCTCGATAATGAAGGAATGATCCTGTACCGGTCAAATAATCACTTCTTTCTCTCAATAATTTGATAAGTTTAACACTGTTACAAATTTGAATCAATCTGGTGCTCATTTCTGTTATATAAATGTGAATTTTAAGATGCATTACTTTAATGAAGGGTTCCTCAGCAGAGGACGAATGCGTGTCAATCATTCTCATTGAGAAAGACCACCTGCAAGAAATTAATTTACTAGCAACAAGCGTACAGCTGGAACATACGGTTCCATCTTGCTTTACACAAATGCAAAATAAATAGTATATGCGGCGCAAAACGCCACGTCTGCAGGTTGTTAGTCCTCGACCTGGCATTTAACCATAAAAAATAACTGTACAGGTGGATATTTGGAACGCCTTGAACAAGGGCCCCCAGAATAAGGGGCGTTGGAGGACAGCCGTCGATGGCTCATACCTCGAGGGAAGGGGGAGGGGGGCTACGAGCCCACGTTAAGCTAAGAAATTCTAAGCTATTCAGTTGGCACAGGGGACACGCTAGACAATGGGCACCCGTATGGATGTGAGGACTTCTTTTTCGTGCGGGTTGAGGTGCGGGGTAAACATAGCGTAGGCGGGATGTTGAGCAAATGTCCTAATAAAGTTTGTGAGGTATGGCTGTAGTTGTACAGAGGACAAGGGGTCGGCAGCAGCGTCTGGGTCGTCTTCGTCATCGACGACATCAGACGTGCGATGGCTGTTGTCCTTCAGCAGGTCTGACGTGTATAAAGCCGAAGGATCGTCATCGGCCCCATCATCGTCTTCCCAACCTTCGTCCTCATCATCGTCGTCCTGCAAATCGCTTGATTACTTACCAAGGCCGACAGACAATTTTTATTATATATCTTCTTATATCTCCTTCCAAATTACTCAAATGAGCAAATAATTAGCAGTACTGGATAATATCCTTGTTGATATAATGATCGCAAATTAAGGAGACAGCACAGCTGCCAAAGTATGATAGACAATACAAACAGAAAAATCTCACAGGGTCGTCATCCTTAGCCATGTTGATCTCGATCACGTGGAAGAGCTCGTAGATGACGAGCTTGAAGAGCTTCACCAGCAGCGGCACGCGTGTCCACTGCTCGGGCCGAGCAGCCGCCTGGGAGCGCGTCCGCACGCCGCCTTCAGACGATATTATCTGACGAATACAATAGTTACAGTGGGGGGAAATAAATATTCGTACACTTGAAAAGTCGTATTTTAATGTATGTAAGTACACAAACTTAACAGCAAAAGTGATTTAAATTATATATAGAGACGCATAGTACCTATTCAAAAATACTATCAAAAGAAATTAAATCTCAATGCAACAAAAAACAATGCAACATGTTCACTTCTTCGGGTGAAAAAAGTATTCGTACAAAACAATAAATCCGCATTATTTTAATTTAATACTTGCTTGAATACCCTTTATTCAGCTCAACAGATACCAGTCTATTTCTATACGTCTCGACCAATGATTTGCAGATGCTGATACATGTTGCATTGTTTTTTGTTGCATTGAGATTTAATTTCTTTTGATAGTATTTTTGAATACTATGCGTCTCTATACATAATTTAAATCACTTTTGCTGTTAAGTTTGTGTACTTACATACATTAAAATACGACTTTTCAAGTGTATGAATATTTATTTCCCCGCACTGTATATCAGTAAAATGCACAGAAGTAATATCAGTACTATGTATAATCGTAATATCACTACTACTATGTCCACACAATGACAAGCAGGCACGGATGCAATGGGTAGGATATCAACAAACGGAGTCAGCAACTTTACCATAGAGGACGCATCTAACTAGACAGATTGCGGCCCGTATATTGCCTGCAGGGGCGCGCCGTACCCTACCAGGTCCCTGGCACGTGTACCGCCTGTAGGCGAGAGACGCCTGTCATTATGTCATGCCCTCACCTGGTCTCCCGGCACGAGTATCGCCTGCAGACGAGCGTCGCCTGTGAGCACGCCGTGCTCCAGCATCTTAGCCAACGCCAGTACGGTGACCTTGCGCTCGTAGCCGCCGTAGAAAGCGTGCTGCTTGGCACACCAGAGAGTCAGCACAAAGCTGAGGGCGCTATCTCCCTCAGGGCCGGGAACTGAGCTCAGGAAGTCCAGCACATCCTCGAGCTGACGGTGCACGAGCTGAGCGAACACCACCGTCAGGTTCTGCACCACCATCAGCGTCTCGGTGCTCTGCACATATTGTAAAATTCGAACAGGCGTTGCGATATGCAATCCAGTTATGAAAAATTCTCTCAGGCAATATGAGCACCATCAATTCAATATTAACAAATTTGAAACCAAGTAATACATCAATTTCTTAACTAGATTATTGTGATGCTTCACCAAGAATAAAAATTCAGATCGCGTAATTTCCCGCCACAGTTGGTGTTGTGGACATACCCACAACACACAAGAGCTCCTGTATATTGCGGCGCCAGGCGTACAACACACAATAGCTCCTGTAGTATATTGCGGTGCCAGGCGTACAACACACAATAGCCCCTGTATATTGCGGTGCCAGGCACACAACACACAATAGCCCCTGTATATTGCGGCGCCAGGCGTACAACACACAATAGCCCCTGTATATTGCGGCGCCAGGCGTACAACACACAATAGCCCTTGTATATTGCGGAATAAGATACACACACAAAATAACATACTGTTTTCCCTCTCATCTTCGCGGGTTCTCGAAGAATATTCACATTTCACAGTTTTGGCATATCGCGGAGTTTTCTTTCGGTATATTACGCATTTGAGTGATACGGGACGCTGTAGCGTGAAAGATGGTAAATGTTACAGACGATACGTTTACAGATGGCACACGTAGACATAACCCACTTGCAGCTTGCTGAGCACGGCTCTGAGCAGTCTGTGCAGACCATCACCCAGCTGAGAGGACAGGTGATGGATGAGCGCCGTCACGAGGCGCCCCACGAAGCCAGCTGCCGCGTCAGGAGCAGATGGTGAGAGCAGCTCGTGGCACACGTCCACAACCCAGTCCAGGCCAGACCTGCCCTCCTCGTCCCGCCACGTCACAACCTGCCAACAGCCATGACGCTATGCAGGGACTGATGCAACATCTACTACGATCAATAATAATAGCTAATCGTGATATATACCAAATATATATAATAATATCAATAGTCAATATTATGGTAGTAGTTTATAACTGACGTGGTCGGCAGCGACAGCGATGAAGGCACGCAGGCACTCGCCGCCGTTCTGCTGCGCGGAGAGGTCGTCGGTGTGCAGCGTGCGGTTAACCACCGCAGGAAACGTTGCATGCATCATGAGCGTGTCCTTGTCAGGGTTCTGGCAGCACCGCACCAGCACCGTCAGCATGTCCAGTGCCACAGCGTGCACTCCTGAGGGCACCTGTACATACAGCATGGCTGTACACCTCTGGGTATGGCTGAGTGGCTCGTATTCCCGCCACTTGCACCCACAGCACCAAGGAGTGACCCACGCACTCACCACTCGCACCCACAGCGCCAGAGAGTGACCCACGCACCCGCCACTCGCACCAACAGCACCAAGGAGTGACCCACGCACCCGCCACTCGCACCAACAGCACCAAGGAGTGACCCACGCACCCGCCACTCGAACCCACCTTATCAGTAGAAGAGTTGAGCAGGGACACAAGCGTAGGGAAGAACTTCTGTTGCATGGCGTTGTTGTTGGCAGGATGCGTGCAGAGCTCCTGCAAGAGGTCCTGCACGAGGGACACCAGCACGGGGTCGTGGCTGGCTTTGATGAAGACGGCGAGACACAGAGACGAGACGCGGCTCAGGTACGGTGAGGATAACGAGGCGTCGAGACCAACGAGCAGCAGTAGCCGCTCCAGGGCCAGCGCCATCATCTCGGACGGAGACTGGGGGGAGAGATACGGTTAAGGTAAAGTTATGGTGAGAGAGTAATCATTCTGAGGGGCGTGAGAGGGGAGTTACTGTGAGAGGCGTGAGGGGGATGAGATACGGTGAGTGGCGTGAGGAGGGAGTGATTGTGAGTAGCGTTCAGGAGAACACAAGTTACCTGAGTAGTGAGCAGCACCAAGCCCTCCACGATGGCCCCCAGGTATGGACGCAGCAGTTCACTCGACTGCTTGCAAGAGAAGGCGGCTGGCGGCGCCAGGCTGGCCAGCTCCTCCTTGCCCTCCAAGCTTCGCAGCCTCGCCTGCACCCACGACTCCTTGTTGCCATTGAACAGGTCGCAGAACCCAGACACGGACCTGTGGATGACAACAGGTCGTAGAACCCAGACACAGACCTGTATATGACAACAGGTCATAGAACCCAGACACGGACCTGTGGATGACAACAGGTCATAGAACACCGACACTGAACTGCAGACAACAGGTAGTGGAACTCTGACACCAACGTACAGACAACAAAAGGTTGAAGTGCCCTGACACAAACCTTCGAATAACACGCCACAGAACCCCGAAAGTGACCTGCGGATAACAGAGCCACGCAAATTAAGTTGCCAGAGTAAAGCAGTTGTGGAAAGACCAATTCTGCAACAGTAAAACTATCGCTCCGGTGCATTTGGTGGCAACAGACATTAAGTATACTCTTAGAATACTAAACAGACATTTGTTTAGTATAGAATACTCTAGTATAGGAATAGGTCATTTGAATACTGATACCGTCCTTAGGGCTTTCCCTTGCCTCATTTATTGCACAGCTTTTCATATCTTCTCTCTTCTTTTTATTGATTATACTCTATGTTGTGGGTTCTATTATCACTATAAGATTGGGATTGTGGCAACCAGCAACGTTAACGAGTTAGATGAACAGCAAGGCTCACCTGATGGCAGAGACTCTGACAACAGGGGGAGAGGATAGCTGCAGAGCTGAGGCAAGGCAGTGTAACAAGCTGTCAATTGTTGCAGTGTCAAGAGCCATGGCCAGCTCGCTGCCGCAATATAAAGCTTTGCCGCAGAGATAGCTTGGCACTGAAATAAAAAATGCGTAAATCAACAAATGCAGATATAGCCGGTCATATACCTTAATTAATATCTTGATATACAAGATATTTATTGTCTCATTGAGTTTATATTAGGCCACTAGTATCACCCTTCAGTACTATGCATAGTTTTGTCTATGACAACAACACCGCGGTACAGTAACCATTATGCAAAAAATACAGCGCTAAACACGTGAAGATATCCTACAGGTGGTTTCTAGACTATAGTCTTAAACATTATACGTTTAGAGGGCAAAATTGCAATCATTGAAATGAATAATTCCTGGAATAAAATAATTTAACCTAGAAATCTTTGGAATTGCTTTCTTCCTGCAGAATCGCTCAAACAAAAGTATATTCATAATAGTACTGATTGACTCACATGAAGGATCAAAACATTCATAATAGTAATGACCAACTCACATGAAGGATCAAGACTTTTCTTGACGACGGCCTCGACAAAACTGTCAAGGTTGAAGGTGACACGCCTGCAGAAAACTTCTTTAAGCAGACAGTCTGCCGACACAGACACTGCAAACAGGACGGCTTCGTAGAGCTTCCACCAGCAGATATCGCCTCCAGACCGAGCCTCATCTGCCTTGTGGATGTGGCGCTCCACGGCTGCCACGATACAGGTGCAGTACGTGGCAGGCAGATCCTGCTGCAGACTCTGCACACAACATGAGCCATCATACAGCTGTCACCCACAGCAGCACTCACCCTCAGCAGCCGCAGCAGCACTCACCCTCAGCAGCAGCACTCACCCACAGCAGCACTCACCCCCAGCAGCACTCACCCTCAGCAGCACTCACCCTCAGCAGCACTCACCCCCAGCAGCACTCACCCCCAGCAGCACTCACCCTCAGCAGCACTCACCCTCAGCAGCACTCACCCTCAGCAGCACTCACCCTCAGCAGCACTCACCCTCAGCAGCACTCACCCTCAGCCGCACTCACCCTCAGCAGCACTCACCCTCAGCAGCACTCACCCTCAGCAGCTCAACAGCAGACGCCCGCACGGAGTATGCGAAGCTCTCGTCATCCTCAAATTCAACATAGGCGTCTGCATCCGCATTGAACGTTTCAATCTGAAATGAAGCATTAGAATTGATAATAATAAATAATCAGGAAGGGCCCTACCAATAGTTAGAAAAGCAATTAAGTGTACTGATCCTAGTACAAAAAATCATGATTGATAAAGCTCAGTGGGCTTGCATACTGAAAAAATTAATGATACAATCAAGAATGGACAGGAGCAGGCGCGGTTAAGAATATGATGGGGTCAGCTATGCATACAGCTCACCTGGTGCTCTGTCAGCTGCATGTACAGGATGAGGTAGTAGATGAGGTCAGCCATGCTCGGCAGGATGAGGTCTCGGTGCTTCTTGTGGTGCAGGAGAGCGTCCACAAATTCGAATAAACTGTACACTAAATTCTCAAAGCCAAGCACTTCACCTGCAGCACAAATAGAGCTGATTAAATAAGGTGTTCTAGAACTAGAATTTAAAAATCGAAATGCCTATTTTATTATTAAATCAAGCAAATAATTAAGCATATTAAAATAATATTATTGATATAGCAAGATTATTTCGGCAAACATGGTTTGGTCTGACGAGTGGCAACACCTCGCTTCACGAACGTAATGCACCCCTTGGTGTGGCATAGAATCTAAATCAATTCAATTAATCCATTCAAGCCTCAGTATTAAAACAGAACATATTTTTCCAGCAACCGCAACTGTCCTCAACTTATTCAAGAATGTTGACAGCAGTTGGCATGAGCCGACACTCACAATCAGAGTTGACGGCGTCAGCGGCGTGCTCCCTGCATTAAGAATGTTGACAGCAGTTGGCATGAGCTGGCACTCACCATCAGAGTTGACGGCGTCAGCGGCGTGCTCCCTGCAGTTGACGGTGCAGCTGACATAGGCGTGAGCTGACGTGGTCAGAGAATGCCACACGAAGCTCAGCACGTCAGGCAAATATTCCACCATTTGCCGCGGCACGTTCGTCACCAACATTGTTAGTGCTGCACAATGATACATTATACTATCACAGTATATTAATTTACCTTCCAATTGATCCACACTTCATCTCCACATTTTCATTAATGGAACTTAATATTTTACTTATAATCATACAGCGCAACTCAATCATGTTATTCAATATCATATAAATAACATGAGAAACTCGTGTGTACACCACTAGCAGATAACGAAATATATAGAAAAATTGCAGTAACTACAAATCAATTACAAAAATAGCATCAGTGCACAAAATTAGAGTCAAAATGTAGGTACTGTATGGATTCTTTCACTAGAACGTAATTCATACCTCAACGCCTGGTAACGCGGGTTACCACCAGTAGGCAAATTAAAATAGATAAGAATGAGGGAAACTAACTCTAGAGAAAGTGAATGGAGAAGAGTTGATCAACCGTTAAAAGTGAGGGAACTAATCCATATGAATGAGAGAACCCCATAGAAGTGGGCGGGACTAACCCTCAGAAGTGAGGGGAACTAACCCTCAGAAGTGAGGGGAACTAACCCTCAGGAGTGAGGGGAACTAACACTTAGAAGTGAGGGGAACTACCTAACCCTTAGAAGTGAGGGGAACTAACCCTCAGAAGTGAGAGGAACTAACCCTCAGAAATGAGGGTTACTAACCCTCAGAAGTGAGGGTAACTAACCCTTAGATGGGTAACTAACCCTCAGAAGTGAGGGTAACTAACCCTTATAAGTGAGGGGAACTAACCCTCAGAAGTGAGGGGAACTAACCCTCAGAAGTGAGGGGAACTAGCCCTCAGAAATGAGGGTAACTAACCCTCAGAAGTGAGGGTAACTAACCCTCAGAAGTGAGGGTAACTAACCCTTATAAGTGAGGGTAACTAACCCTTAAAAGTGAGGGGAACTAACCTTTAAGAATGTCCCTTCTGAGGCCGCAGTCGACCATAGGACCGTCAGGAGTGTGCAGGACCTTAAGCATGGCCTGGATGAAGGGCGGCAAGGACGGATACAGTAGCTGCTTGGCAAGGTTCCTGTTGAACTCCCCCATGAGGCTGATGGCGCTCGCCAGGTTCTTGAAGATTTCCACGGCCCGTCCACGCGTTCTGATGCTGTATTTCTGACATACAGAGCTTCATTATTTCCACCAATAATCAATATTTACAAAGGAAAAGTAATTCACCATTTCGAACGTTCTGATATCTCAGGTGGCATGATCTGCTTGACTCACCTGATCCTGGCAGAAGATGTTGTACATCTCAGGGAGGACGATGGGTGCCACCTTCGTGACGATGGAGTCATCAATGTCCTTGGAGAACTCAGTGAGGACCCTCATAGCCCCGTGGGTGCCATCTTCGTCCCCACTTGTGATGGCGTCAGTGATGAGGCTGAAGAAAGCAGGCCAATTATCAGGCCAGTCCCAGGCCCCTATGCAGGAGAGCGCGTAAGCAATGCAGCACCTGGTAAACATCTCTCGGTTAGAATATTATCTCTCTTTTACATTACAAAATAAGTTGAAGCATCATCCTTCACAACGACCAGCAAACCAATAAAGAGCCTAGGCAAACAGAGAATGAAATTTTAATGTACACTGATTCCTTTACATGCGTCAAGACCAGCAATCCTTATGCCAAATTGTTGTTTATTGTGCGAGCGGCTCTCATCTGCCGCCTATTTTATTGCAACGACGTAACTCCCGCTCAATGACCAAACACTTTACTGTGCACCAACCTATATATATACCATCTTGCACGTGAAACCTATATGGTATTATCTCACACGTGTAACCTATATGCACCTTGCACATGCAATGTATGCAATTGCACCTCACAGGTGCAATGCCTACCATCTTGCAGGTGTAACCTATACGTATCTTGTACATGCACGAGGGGTTAAAATTGCTTCAATTTACAACTGGCAAGAGGGGTTAGACTTGCCTCAATTTAGGACCGACAAGAGTGGTTAGACTTGCCTCACTTTACGACTGACAAGAGGGGTTAGCGTTAGACTTGCCTCAATTTACGACTGGCAAGGGGGGTTTGACTTGCCTCAATTTAGGACTGACAAGAGTGGTTAGACTTGCCTCACTTTACGACTGACAAGAGTGGTTAAACTTGCCTCACTTTACGACTGACAAGAGGGGTTTGAGTTGCCTCACTTTATGACTGGCAAGAGGGGTTAGACTTGCCTCACTTTATGACTGACAAGAGGGGTTTGAGTTGCCTCACTTTACAACTGGTAAGAGGGGTTAGACTTGCCTCACTTTACGACTTGGGTCATACAATCCCTGGGGGAGAATTTGTCTGATCTTCTGCTTGCTTGACTCAGGACACTCGGGAACTTGGAACTGCACAAAAGGTATTAAGATCAGCACAAGAAAGTTACCAGCTATACATGTAATACAAGAAAGATTCAGGGATGTAATTCATCCTAGACTGTTTGGGCTGAGAAGATGCACCCTGCAGTTATCAAAAGAAATTACCAAAAAGCATCCATTCACAGTAACGAAGAGACTACACTTCAATATTGCAATGCATGTGTTATTGCATCTATGCAAATATTTGAATAGCGTGATAACATGAAACGTATCTTAAAAAAGAGCACATAGCTCCAAATGCTGTGGAAAAGATGCTTTGTTCGACACATAATTGTCAATGCTAAGGAGAATTGTACAAGAAATTAAGTCTTTTGATTCTCCTTTTATTGTTGTTGAGAAAATTGACAATGTACGTATGCAATGTTTCTCAAAAATAAGCAGAAATAAGGTGTTGCAGAAATGTTTGGAAAAAATCCATTCTATCTCCAAGTCATTTAACGTAGCATTTACATTGACACAAACTGATCTCAATTGTTTTTTTAGTTAAACCCAATAATTACCATTAAAATGAAAGATCTATTGATTATGATGAACAGTTCCTTATATGAAAAATATGTAATGCATACGGTATTCTGATAACAATGCAAGCATTGGCACACATTGTACCAATGAACGTCAACATATTGCTGAGTACCAGCCTTTAGGGACCCCTCATACCAATGAGCCTCAACATACTGTGAAGTACCTACCAACCTTTCAGGACCCCTCATACAAATGAGCTCAACATATTGCGGAGTACCAACCTTTCGGGACCCTTCATACCAGTGAGCTTCAACATATTGTGGAGTACCAACCTTTTGGGACCCCTCATACCAATGAGCTTCAACATATTGCTGGAGTAAAACTGATGCCAGTTGTCTAACTGCAAGATTGCCATTTCTGTCAAGAGCCACTTCAGCAAGATGCACTCCAAACTCTGCAACATGATATGTAAATCAGATTAGCTGAACAATCAGTAAATATTAACAACTTGTGAAAAAAAATTCATTTACTCTGAATTCAACTTCTCTGTTTTAAATAATTTGGATTTGTAAAGAGCAAAAAATTGATCAAAAGATTTTGAGATCAGCTCCATCATCAGTTCAAAAAACATCAGTTCCCTGTCATTCTATTGAAACCTAAAATATATAATCAGTGACACAAGAACATATAATCTTCTGATCAATTGTTGGCTTGATTAGCATGCACCTTGGTATAAGAAGCTTATTCACCATTCCATCTTCTTGTCCTCTTTTCAAGCATAAGTATCATGTTTGCCATATACTTCAATGCAAAGAGCCCTCAAATTACATCCATATTCCAATAAAAATATCCATGTACTATTATCATTGGAGAACCATGAATTACATTGATTAAGCACAAAATTATCCATGACTCACCTTCTGTCACTTGGAAAACCTTTATTTGTTGCTCAGCTTCAAGTCTAATGGATGACTGAGGGGAGAGAACATTGTGAAGTGTATCTATGAGTGCTTCTTTCAAATTTCCCGTACAATCACTTGAAGTCATATTTTATACTTTTTATAGCTATACCACTAGGAAACTTAGGTTATAACAACTTTGTACACATATATATTTTAATCTAACTTAAAGAACATAATTTCATGGACATGTAGACCCTGGCAGAAATTACATAGTAGACATTATTATTAGTTATTTAAGGGTTTATTAAGCTAATGCACTTTGCAGCCTGATTGCTAAGTGCTAACATCAATTGCAAGAAATACCGAACACCACTGTGGTCTTAGACAGAATACACATGTATAAACAACATTTGATCAATATTCAAAATCTTTGACACTTTAAAACATCATAAAACCAATATACATATTTCTTATGGCCCAAATCAGCTCAATATTTATATGGGAGACAACAAAGAGTTCCTGCACTCTTTCAAACATAGTAGAAAAGAAGAACACTTTTTGTTGCCTTTCCTCAAGTTTATTTTTGAGTCCTATAAGTAGACTAGTAAGTATTTTTGATACCGTACCAGCATTATCATACATAATAAATTGTTAAAAATATCAGACAAGAAATTTAAAAATTAACTGATCCTAGAAATTCTCTGGTTTCCCATTATGCCTTCAAATTGCAGCTATTATAAATATATTTTTGCTTCATAATGAAAATAAACAATTAAAGAAGCCATGGTCAATGAGGAAGAGGTGCTGATAACCAGGACAACTTGTAGCTTGATCAGAAATATCAATGCAGTTCAAGTATGACAAAAACTACCTACTGCAATCGGTAAGTTAACTAAGTTTTTTGATAATACTGACAAGTGAAGTTGAATGCTAAAATCTATATATATAAGTGGCAATCTGACAAATCATGGATACAGACAAATGGGGTAATAAGGGATGGTTTTGAGCATTTTTTATTAATAACTTTATACCATGAAACATTTCATAAACAAGTTTGGGCTCATTTTAAGAGGCCGGTTCAGCTCGGCCAGCAGCACAACAGGCGGGACTATCTGCTATGGGATTCTTCACTAAATTGGTTCGCTCTAACTTCACTCGTTATTGACGTATCAGCCTGAAAATTCGAATGCTATTTCAGCAATCAATAACTTCATTCCTTAAGATATTCCTTTCCCACTCCTCCCTCCCCCCCCCTCACCGAATTCCTGGCCGCCGTCACTGCGCTGCCAGACGGAATGCCCTTCCTGCCGCTCAGATTTACACTCGCTGGCTGAGAAGCACGGTCATGGAGTTCGCCTCTCCTTGAACCGGCCTCTTAATCAGTTTGCCCTGAAAGTTTTTTCTTGCATGAATGTACAGTAACGTTGTTGATTTACTTTCAACTTATTATTGATTGATACAAATCTCCAGCTGCCGTCTAAAAGTTAAAGGTTAGAATGGCTTCTAAAATTATTAATATTTTTATTTAGATGATTCCATCGTAAACTTTTTCATAGTTGATGTTCAAAAAGTTTCTATACTGCTGCATTAACATGTTCCATTAATCGGAACAAATTTGCCTAAATTTATCAATGAGACTAATTTGGTGAAATAATGTGAAATAGTGAAATTTTTAATGTGAAATAAATCGCAATAGAAAGTGAGCACTATTATTTGATGTTTATAAACTGCAGAACTGACTTGTAGATTGATTGAGGAACGATCGACGAAACAGCATTTCGCTTGCTCGAAAATCATGAAAGGTCAAATGCTTATTGAAGGTATACTGCTTATCTCCCTCCATTAGTGAACGATATTGATCTTGAACATTTTAACCTATTCCAATACGGGTGCTGTTCCTTTTTCGATTGACTAGCAGTAGCATTCATTTCTCTGAAATAAGTTTAAATAAATAGTCTCTACACAGTTCAACCACAAATGTGGCTATTCCTCGATTTATGGGACGATAGCAAGTCATTCGTTTTGTAGTTACGTAGTTTAAAGAGTTCAGTGCAGTAACGTGACTTTGCATTACTCGAGCAGTAACGTCACTTTGCGTTACTCGAGCAGTAACGTGACTTTGCGTTACTGGTGCAATAACGTCACCGTTACTGGTGCAATAACGTCACTTTGCGTTACTGGTGCAGTAACGTCACTTTGCGTTACTGGTGCGGTAACGTCACTTTGCGTTACTGGTGCAGTAACGTCACTTTGCGTTACTCGTGCAGTAACGTCACTTTGCGTTACTGGTGCAGTAACGTGACTTTGCGTTACTGGTGCAGTAACGTCACTTTGCGTTACTCGAGCAGTAACGTCACTTTGCGTTACTGGTGTCTCTTATACACATCTAGATGTGTATAAGAGACAGAAGAAGATGTCTATCAATCTAAAGGAACCGCCAAGCTCGGTTCCGCAGATCAAAGACAATTGATCCAGGGACGTGCGAAACGCTTGGTAAATGCCATAAAGGGTGCAATCAAACATCGCAAAAATTTGACTGATACAACTGAAGCGGAAAGAATCGACGGGTTGCGTAAAGACATTTTGAACAGCGCCCGACATGTTTTCGGTGATCATACGATGTGTTCAATAACCGGCAATTATTTTTGTAAAAATAAAAGTGATTATAATCACTGTCCTGATCTTGAAAAAACTGGAGTTTTTCAGGCTATAATAAAAATACTAAATAGAGTGAAGGATCATGCAGAGAGTCTAGTGCATGATTTGGATAGTAACCGCGTAGAACATTATAACAGCCGAGTTGCCAAATTCACTGGAGCCAAGAGAATAAATTTTTGCTTGAATAATAGCTTCGAAACCAGAGCTCTTGGCGCAGTAATCGTTCACAACAGCGGTCAGTTGCATTCACAGATCAGTGAGAAACTCCCACGAAAATCTCCAAACAAACTTGTTGTAAAAATGGAAGCTCAGCGAGTACATCAAAATACAACTGCTAGAAAGCGGCTTTTCAGCGACAATGATCAAAAAGTAAAACGAAAAAAAAGCCGTCGTTGTTACGGCTACGAAAGCGGTGGCTTTGCATCTGTCTCGGAAGACGCAAAACTGAGCTTTATGGAGACATTGTCATTGGATAATAATCAAATTAAAATCCTTGAATCCTCAACTGTTGAACAAAGTAATTCCCTGTTGTGGCACGAAGAGAGAAGAAAGAGGCTGACAGCGTCTAATTTTGGCATTGTGTGCAAACTGAGAAAAAGTACAAATAAGGATGCTGTAGCCTACAGGCTGTTAAATAATACAATTAGTTCACTCCCTGCTCTGGTATGGGGCCGAGAGAAGGAAAATGTAGCAGTAAAGATATTGCAAGAGAAAATGTGCATTAAAGTTAGTGGCTGCGGTTTTTTTGTTGACAAAGTCTATCCATTCTTGGGTGCATCGCCCGATGGTCTCGTAGGTAATGACTGCATTGTAGAAATCAAGTGCCCTACCTCTGCCCGTCACTTCAGAACAATTAAAGATGCTATCCGTGAAAAGAAATGCGACCATTTGANTACCGTAACAATATACGACATACCGTAACAATATACAACACACCGTAACAATATACAACACACCGTAACAATAATATGTATTGTTGCCAAACAATAAAACGTTTGTTTTGAGCGAATAATTGATAATATAAAGAAATAGAAGATGCATAGAGGTGCGCGCTCAATAATAATTATATCGGACTGACAAATTGTACACAAGTACGCAGGAAAAACTTATTATACAAATGTTGATAATAACTCGAGCTCCCAAACTCTGGAGCGTCGGCTCACTCACCGCCTCCGCTCTCTGCACGTGCAGAGGGTAAGAAAGTCTGTCGTAGTTTGGACAATAGGTTTCTCGTAATTGTTTTATCTTTATGCAGCATCAGTTCCTACCCATGACATCCCTCTCTATGCCCAATACCACCCACCCCTCCCTCCCAACACCGTCACCCCCTCCCACCGCCATCACACCACCGACCACCGCCAGCACCAGCCCCCCAACCCCCACCCGCCAGCGAAAGCACCAGCCCCCGAACCCCCACCCACCAGGATGGACAGCGCGTGCACTCCTGAGGCGAGCTCCTCCGCCAGGACGTCGTTCACGAGGCGGTGGCGCTGACCAATAAATACAGTGAAATAAATACCCAAATAAACAATAGGTAAATATCCAAATGAACAATATAAAAATAAACAAATATGTATAAGTTCAATCAGTAATAACGCAGCGGATGGAGCGAAGAAAACATCTTAGGCCAGCGGGTCCAGTGAAATAAATGACTTTAAAGTTCGGGTCCCGACTTAGGTCTCCTTCGTCTTTTATTGAAGAAGAAGTCGTCTTATTGAAAGAAATAGATCAATTCAAACTGTTAGTCCTAATGGTAAATATATACTTTACAAGCACGGCAGTTTCTCGCCACAATTAGTATATTGATAAATGCACCACGTCACGATCACAGCGAGCCTCAATTAATTGGGACACCGTAGCAATGCACTGGTAACTTAATTGGTATACAAATATTCAAACAAAATAAACAAACTTTCCATTCTGCTTGTTACACAAATCTATTAGTACCCAGCATTCTATACATCTTTGAACTTTGATAATTTAATCAAATTGGTATTGTATTTGAAGTTCTCTGCGTCCTTAAATGTTCAGAGCTAGTTAACGAAGAATGAGTAATATACATGGGTTAGATAAAATAAGGCAAACACACGAGAAATCCAAAAAAAAAACTTTATATTTTAGTATAGTTTACGGCCCTCTTTTGCGGCAATTACAGCTTCAATTCTCCGAGGTATTGATTTATACAAATTGTGAATTGTTTGAATTGTTTCCAAAGGAATTTAGCCCATTCTTCAGTTAAAACTACTTCCAGCTCTTTTAGAGTCTATGGCGGCGGGAATCGACTTCTGACTTGTATCTCTAAAATCGACCGTAAATGCTTGATAATATTCAGGTCTGGTATTAGTGGTGGCCAAATGAGATGCTTAACTTCATTAGAATGTACCTCGTGTCATTTTTAACAATATTAGCTGTATGGATCGGGGCATTATCATCTTGAAAAATGGTGTTCCCCTCCGGAAACATGCAGTGCTTGAACCGTTGGATGAACTTGGTCCTCCAAAATTCCTAAATAGTAACGGCTATTGATTCTTCCATGAAGAGAAATCATTGGTCCGCCGGATTTCTAAGAAATATCACCTCAGATCAGCCCCCGCCATGTTGTACGGTTTTGAGGAGCCTGTTTGGATTAAATGACTCTTTTGGCTCTCTCCAAACGAAAACTCGGCCAGAGGTTGAAAATAAGGCACACGATGATTCGTAAGAGAAAATCACATTTTTCCACTGCTAGAGAGACCATTCCGGAGGTTTTTACACTACTGTATACACTTTTAACCATTTGTATTTGTAAACAGAGGTTTTATAATAGCAGGTCTTCCATAGAATGCAGATCTGCGCAGCTCTCGTCGGACAGTCTTTATGGAACAGCAGTAATTTTAACAGCCGTGGTTTTTCGATTGTCCCTCACAATTCAATTTAGGTACCGACGGTCTCTCACAGACAACTTTGACTTTCAGCCAGACCTATGCTTTACTGAGGACGTTTTTCCTTCTCTTTCAAAGGCGGTCATTATTTCTGAGACAGTATACCTCTAGAAATGTCAAGCATTCGGGAAGTTTCTGTTACACTAGCGCCTGCCATACGGACACCAACAATTTGGCCTCTTTGCCATTCATAGGTTATAGACACAAGAATTTACTAAAAATGTCTGTGTGCATGGATAAAATATGAATTAGCATCAACAATAAATAATGAAACATAAAAAGATGTCACTTTTTCATTGCAACATGTTAGAAAAATTACGATATCAAAATGGCATGTGTTTCCCATATTTAGTCCAACCCCTGGATGCAGACATGGCCCTCCATTATGAGATGCCCTCCTTAATGAGTGGCATACCCTGGTGGGGCAGTCACCATGATGAGTGGCATGCCCTGGTCGGACACTCACATGGATGAGTGGCATGCCCTGGTCGTACACTCACTGGATGAGTGGCATGCATGCCCTGGTCGGATACTCACCTGGATGAGTGGCATGCCCTGGTCATACACTCACTGGATGAGTGGCATGCATGCCCTGGTCGGATACTCACCTGGATGAGTGGCATGCCCTGGAAGCGGGTGCTCACCACCAGCACCTTAAAGTGAGTCTCCGCCCCCCGGGGCACGTTGTGCATGTGGCTCTCGTCCACCACCGCCACATGCCCGCCGCCCGCCACCGACTTCGCCAGCTTGTCGGCGATGCGGCGGCCTACCGGACCTGACGAGGGAGGTTTCTCTAGGTCTAGGGTATCGTGGCGGGGAACGTCACGGGTATCATCGGGCATCATTACGGGCATCATCACGGAGATCGTCATGGGTATCAAGGGTTATGATCATGGGTATCGTCACAAGTATTGTCGCCGCTATCATGAGTATCATCACGGGGTTACATAGTTACCATCACGGTTTTCATCAGTTATTATTACTTTTATTATCACTTGATAATAACTACGTCATCTCGACTATCATCACACATCATTACGACTATCACCCCACAGCACCACCATCACCGACACTCACCGAGGCCTGCTGCTGACGTCATCGCTCGCTGGCCAAATCTATGCCACATCCAATACTTGATTTTTTTTATACCTGCATTATTAAAAAAAGGTTAGCAGAATTTTCATATTAGAGTTTATTATAAGTAATAACCAAAGTCCGACTTTAATCATTAACTTGAACAGCGATAAACAATAAGTGCGTAGGTAAAATTTATAGCAATTCAGAGAGTTATTGCAAGCAAAGCGAGTTGGAAGTGCTTTCAATGTAAAAGGTCTATAAAATAGAAGAACCTAGTAAAGAGTTGAGAACGCGAGGCAGTAAACAATGACAGCAGTAAGCCTGATAGATAACCAGGCTCACTTCCAACACGAACCAAACATCCGTGAGACTGAATACGATGAATAACTTGCAGAAATTCAACCAACGAGCGACTGAAGTGTACCGACCGTAGCGACACTTTTGAGGCTAACTTCTATAACGCACAAATGCAGCAATCTTTCCACGCATAACTTTGGAAAATTGACACATCGACACTTATGGGCTGAAATTTTATTGCACCTTACCTAGCATCAAACCCTGTCCTAACTTACTGAGACGAAATCAAATTTTGACGAAATTATCTGCAAAAGATTTCTATTTATATTGTGCTTCAATGAGTGCTGTCACAAGGAGGTAGGGCTCAGATCGTCAAGTATTGTATAGACAATACAACGCTGTACAATACAAGGCTGTACAATACAACACTGCACGATACAACACTGTACAATATAACGTTGTATAATACACTGTCGTACTGTCTGCGCTACGTACGGGCAACCGACTGTCAGACAGAGATAAATATATCATTAATTGATAATAGACTACAAAACCTGATAGCTTGATCGATATTGGTTTTGATTGCGATTATTGATATAGTATATTATATGCGATATTTTATGTATGAAAATATGATAAATGAATGGGTTTTCAAGCATTTACAACAGCGAGACAGGTAGCTTATATTGTTGGCAGAATACAAACAAATCGCGGACGCAGATTTCTTTTAAAAGCGTGGTGCACAAGAAGACAACGCCAGCCTCAATAAAATTTGAACTGAGTTGCGTTTATTCCTATTCAATTCGGTTCCGTATTGCCGGAGTTAATATGGTTTCCCTGTACATTTCTGCTGCCGGGACCGCAGAAGTGTCGGTCTGTCAAGGAGTTGAAACAAGCGACCAGCAGGCGTCCGGTTATTCATACCGGTTAGTCATTAGTGCATCGCACTGATCGCAGATAAGATTTGGTAGTGAGCACAAGTGGTTGGCGATAGAGTGCAAATCTTCACTTAACCGATTGGCTGTTTGAGTAAACGAATTTTAGTTATTTTGGTAATAAGTCATATTTTATCCGTACTGATTTTGACGAAGTGAAATATAAATGGAGGGTATACTCATATTATTGTTTTCCTGGAGATAAAAGAGTTTGAGCAATAAAATGTTGCACGCATGAACATATGAAGACATTTTTATTTTGACTTGATTCGTGAATACTTCTGACATACAGTTTAAGCAATACCGTGCACTAACGCTGGAATGGTCTTTATTTGATGTTATCGGCAATCATTCGAATAGCTTTAGTTGAAAAATAGGAATAGCAATATGAAAAATATGAAACACGCCAGTCCTCCCTAAATATTTCAGTTACTCCCGTTTTCTTTGGTTTTAACTTTTCTGTACGGCAGACTTGTTCAAGTTGGGACAAGACGGTAGTTCGAACAGTGCTCATAATTTTGCAAAATAATCTTGTTGCTGGCCCTAAAATTCAGAGAACTATTTTAAAACTAGCTTTGAAGGACGTGGCGTGTCATTACTCACCTGAGAGGTATCCTCAACGTCAGAATTGGCTTTATTTTCTAATAAGTAACTGACCGGTGGAACACGGTAGTTGTTGTTTACAAATGTGAACTGTTGAGATAGCAAGCAACATATCTTGATGATTGAAGCATTTTAAGATGGATAATTTTCGGACAATATGTATTTTTCACCTTCATTATTGAATTCATATTTTCTGTAATCTTTTATTTCATGATTCAAATTAAATTTGTAGGGCTGGAAAATTTATTTTCTTTTATATGAAGTTTTGACCATCAATTGCTATCGAAACGCAAAAATTTACAGAATTTTTATTTTCTTGTTGAAAGTAGTTTATCCTTGTTATCTTTTTGTATACTGACACCTTTCTTGAGATGCTCTATATTTTTTTTATTGACACATAAGTCAGTGTAACTATATTCTGTTATTTGATCCAAATATCCTTATACCTTCCCTCATGCGTCGGACACGTGTAATTTTTCACAATAGTTGAGGTCTCTATAATAGACTCAATGATTGCTTAGCACTCTATTGTTATTCTGCCAATCATTGAAGACAGATCGGTGTACGCTTGGATGATATTGTATTGTACTGAGTCTCTATTCCGCTTGTGTAGGCATCATGGCGGCTCCCGACTTGGTGTTCGCCGACGCGGCGCTTGCCAAGACCTACCAGACCTACCGCCCTCAGCCTCCTCCATCCATCGTAGCCAGGATCCTGCGCTTCTGGAACAAGGTGAATACAGTCCTTCTCTCGTAGCCACGATCCTGAGCTTTTACAACCAGGTGAACTCAGTCCGTCCCTCGTAGCCAGGATCCTGGTTATTTCAGATCTCAAAGGTGAGGCACGGGTAAATTTGGAAACCCCGATTGGCATCACAGAGCTTTTATAAGAGAAAATTATGGAGAATTCCAACAGGATTGTTAGAAGTTGTAGGTTCAATATAAATCGCAAATTAATTTTCTGATCAGAGAAAGCTATTTTTAATTCAGTCCCGTTGTTCGGCGTAAGAATATTGTGACTTGTCTTCTATAGACATCCATCTCATCGTTTCTCATGCACCTGGTATGAGATTGATATCTAAAAAAATTTCTCGATTGCTTGAACATTATATACAAATTTTCAATGATTTTTGTCGCAAGTTACCGTCCAAAGGAATCGATCGGGAAGTTTTGAAGGGAGTATAGCTGTGACGTCATAAACGTTTGTTCGTTCCAGGGCAAAGACAGCAGAGAAGTAACGCAAGAATCACCAACCCAAAAGCCTGGGTCACTGCTGGTGGATGTTGGTTGTGGTTCTGGTCAGAGCACCCACATGTTCGTAAATGATTTTGACCAGGTCGTGGGTGTGGATGTCAGTCCTGACCAACTGATGGTCGCTCGGCAAAACTACTCCCACATTCAGAACATCCGATTCATGTGAGCCCGACTTCCACATGCTGTATTCATCCTCAGGCTCAGTTTAGATTCGTGCTTTTACTGTCGCATGTGGCAGCCTATGAATTCCTATAGGATTTTTGATTACTATAGGATATCATACTCATATCATACCCTTTAATTTATCATCAATATTAATTAATTAATCTAGTGTATCGTCTGGTAGCAAAATTGGAATATAAATTTGCTGGGGATGTCCCTCCCGTTGCCACTTCTTAACGCGTTAGTTTTGGGCGACACTGGCCTGCAATGTCAGAACCTGCGCTAATGATACATCTTATGATTTGAGTATTGGATTTATAATAAGATCATATGTCATATGGGGATTTTCTTATCATATGTACGTTAATCTCAAAAATTAGACACGACTTAAATCTGGTATTAGCGAATGACCAAAAATGGCGACCCCCAGCATGGCCACCAAACTGTTCGATACAAGGACAATGTATGCAAATATGTGTAAGAAAATGCTCGAATAAATTGTCCTTATTTACGATATCATATTTTTTACAAAAAATTGCGATGCAAAACAAGTTTATCGTATAAACTTCTGATGGATGTGGTGGAAATAAACTTATAAGTTCGGAAAATTAAAAAAAATTAATACTTTTGATTTTTAAATAACTTTGCACTTTGGTATCACTTGCCTCAAGGATGAAACCATAGACCAGAGTTAAGATAACGATATCACGTCCAGGCATCGAATTTACCGACATCGAGCGTCATATTTCTTCCAATTTTTTTTCGCCGATGAATGTTTCCCAGGGTGGAAGTGAAGTAGTGCTTTGAGCGTCAACTTTAAAGTTTATTAAACTTTAAATGCACTGCACGCTTCGTCCACCGGAACATCATTAAATCATCAAGTGATGAACAGAGTAATTAATTATTTTAGAATAAAGCTAGCGGAATCAGGCTGCAGTTAAGAACAATCTTTTGTTATCAATATAAAATAATATCTTTTAACTTCACTTGATAATTGCGTAAGATTTTGTGAGGATCAGTGATTTTTATTACCCCTCGGCATACCGGCCGCCCACGCAGCGAGGGTAACGCGCTTCACCTCCCCTTCCCCCCCGCCAGCGTGGACGTGGTGACCGTCTGTGCTGCCGTCCACTGGTTCATGCCTTTTACGCCCAGGTGAGTCTGGACGCCTTTTGCGCCCAGGTGAGTCTGGACGCCTGCTACGCCTAACTGAACACAAAAGTGCTGCTCTCATCGCGCTTTTTGGGTCATTCGAGCTGGAACCTTCCATTCGAACTTAATTCCTTTGTTTTGACTGCTATAAGTTGTGAAATTCGAATAAGGATACAATTTTTCGTGAGACCATATTAGACTACAATCTCAAAAGAATATGTCAGAGCACTAAACACCGCAGAAAGATGTACATTTCATCACGTAGTGAAGCATGAAATGCCAGTCTTTGTTTTCTGATCATGTAGATGGTTTCGGATTGCAGGACGTTAAATGTGTTCGATTTAATTCCTGTTATTGAATATTGTTACGGTTTTGGGGAACTTTATTGTTGCTCATACTTGTATTGTTGCTCATACTTGTATTGTTGCTCATACTTGTATTGTTACTCATACTTGTACTCTTACTGCTGCAGGTGGACCAGGTACTGCGACCTGGAGGAGTACTTGCGGTGTACTCGTACCTGAGCGCGTACCCTCTGTACCAGGGCAAGTGCCTGCGCCACGTCATGGACGAGGCGAGTACATCAGGCTGGTGTATAGTGAGAGACAACAGTGATGGTGTATAGTGAGGGACAACAGTGATGGTGTATAGTGAGGGACAACAGTGATGGTGTATAGTGAGGGTCAACAGTGATGGTGTATAGTGAGGGACAACAGTGATGGTGTATAGTGAGGAGATAACAGTGATTATATATAGAAAGACAACACTCAAGAGGTCGCCAAGTAAAGTTGTGAACATGAATGACGTGATATTATATACGCTGTATTCAGACTCCAACGAGTCCTCGGGTAAAATATGTAGCCGGAGTCTTAGGCTGCCCAGACTCTATTGAGTCCCCTGGTAAAATAGAGTAGCCGGAGTCTTTGATTGACTATGGTACTCTAGGGCTCTTATAAAGTACCCAATGCTCATGGCTCCGCAGATATTCACACCTCATAGAGTATCATGAACTTCTAGGTAATCGATGTTTCTGGCGGTTTCTCACACCCTTTAGAACTACTTTCTCCTAGATTATCTAGACGTTCTAGGTTACCCACGTTACGTAGAGTATTCAAGATAAGTTTTCTAGAGTTCCCAAGCCTCTTTTACCTTGCTGTGGAACAAGCCTCCGTATAACCTCAGGCTCCAACTTCAACACTAATCAAGAATTGCATGACCAAACTACTGAACACAATTTGAGTACACTGGCTGCATGCACAGAAAACGTCTTAACAATCATGATTATGACCGCAATTATTTTTTAAGTCCAGATTAAAAGAACCCCTCAATATTCGTTGATATTAAGGGCAACTAAGAGCAGTTAATGAATGACTGTTAACTAACAGCAGTTAATGAATGACTGTTAACTAACAGCAGTTAATGAATGACTGTTAACTAACAGCAGTTAATGAATGACTGATGTTATGCGGGCAGCTATGGAAGGCGCTGGAGTTCTGGCCGCCAGAGCACCGACAGCTCGCGACCGAGTACGCCCTCATGCCTGCGCCGTACCAGGAGGAGGAGCACGTCAGGTCCTGCGCGCTGTGCATGATCATGCATAACTTAGTTCCGTCTTTTATGCTGTGAATTATGTATAGAGTCTTCAGTAACTCACAGTAAAAACGCTAAGAAGTTGTGAGGAAAGGGAAATGATGTGTAATGATAACTATTTTTTGAGTCGAAGGTATATTTTTATTTTAATACGATCAGTTTATAGAGTAGGCGCCTTTCAGATTGATCGACAACAAATAATTTTTTGGACATTTCGTTGTGCATTAAAATTCTTTATTTTAACTTCAGGTCTTATATACATGACAAAAATACACTAATTTTTCGCTCGTGACAAGCCACTTATTTTCTGTTTATGTAAAGCCACTAACTTTTCGTTCATGACTAGCCTTTAATTTTCCGTGCATGACAAGCCACAACTCTACGAATACATGGCAAGCCACCTCGGATTTTTTTGCACATCAACGTTTCGAAGACTACAAGCCTAGTAACAAGTCTCTAAATTGCCTGACAGTACGACCATGAAAGCATTTTAATGACGGCTTGCAGCTCCTCGGACGGCGAGTTGGAAGTGTCAAGCGTGTGCCGCCTCAGCGACCTGCTGGGCTACATCTCCTCCTGGTCGGCGCTGGCCAAACTCAGGACCAAGCGAGGTCCCGACGCGGCCCAGCAATACTTGGACGATGCCAAAGCCAAGTGAGTGAGGGATGAGGTGAATCTAATTGTTAGTGAATCTAAATAAAGCAAAGTGAAGTGGGTTTCACTATATTGAATCTATTTGGTACCTAGGCTAACGGGGTCCTACAAAATATGTTGCTAATAAATCTGAAGGATGCCAAAGCCGTGTGGATTCTACAATGTTGCTCGTAAATCTACTCGTATTTCGTGCTAAGGCTAAATGGGTCGTACTATGATGCTGGTAAATCTATGTGATGCTATTGACAAGTGGTATTAATAACAATATTGCTATTAAATCCTTATGATGCTGAAACAAAGTGGGTCGTACAAAATAGATTGCTAGTTTAGGCACCAGTTTCATGTTGGAGAAATGAGGCCGCTACGTGTACTTATGCCGAGTCGTGTACTCAAGCTGCTAAGTGTACGTACTTGGCCGCAACGTATAATCGTGTATTGACGCGAATTTTGATATTTCGGCCCCGGCACGTGAAGATAATGCAGGTGCTGGTACGTTATCGCTGTGCAGGCTGCTGAAGGAGATGGGCTGCATGGAAGAGGACCCTGAGATCGTCAAGCGGCATCGCTACTTCCTTAGGATGTGGAGGAAGCCTCAGCTGTGACCTCATGAAGACCAACTTTATTAATATGTTTTTTTTTGTTTTTGTTCTTCTTTGTTAATGTATTTATTAAAATTATGTGAGGTATTTTTTGACAAATTTTAGTTTTTGATGCGCTTGCACAATTTTTATTGTCTAACTAAAATAAAAGGACGACTTTAATTAAGTCATTCCAAAAATAAAATTTTTAAGTGAAATCATTCTCGTCATATGTTGTGTTTTCTTCAATCCGTCTATGTAGATGCTGATGCAGGAATACTTTAAGGAAAATTCGATTTCCTTCTATTTTCCACGAAATTGAGGTGAGATTTGAATCGCAAAAACGGTGATACCGTCTACTTGCGCAGACTTTTCCGCACAGTTCATTAGTATTGCACTGGACGCCAATACTTCATGCAGTAGGTGCCGCGTCTCATCTTAACCAAGTTACCAATTATTGCCGTAATTGCACTGTTGTTATTGACAGACGCGGAAGTTGACAGAAGGTCGCATTAGGTTAATAGCCGTATCAGCAGCTTTAGTGTGTGTTGTTGCATACGACTTGTGTGTTATATAGTAATGAATATTGAATATGTAAAATTGAATTAAGACAGGTTTATACAATATCTTACTTCCACGCAGTGCAATAACATTACAATATCATGTACAGTGTACGTTCATATGTGCTAACGGTCGGCAGAAGCCACAATGTCCCAGACAGTGTACACTGACCTCAGCTTGAGACGCTTTCTATCCTACTTAGAAAACCACCATTTTCTAAAGCGTTGCCAACTGGTATTATTTCATGCCAGATTTCACTGATCTGGTATTTTAAGACGGTGTCTGGTATTGATATTTTTGATCTGGTATTATTGCCTAAATCTGGTATATTCTGATTTATTGCAAATTAACTGCATGAATTTCCACCTCTAATGTTTGAACTTCCACCAGCGTGAGCGTGGATTATATAGATTACATTTCGAACGGCGTGACTAGAGCTTTCCGCCATTTATAAAACCGCGAGATTACCGCTTGATGAAATAACTCCGAAACTTAACATGTATTTCATTTATTTTACTTAACATTTAAGGAAAGTGCTTAGTGCAGCAAATGCACGGGAGTGATGGTTCATGATTGCTCACTGATCAGGGATTATATGGTCTTTGACGAATAAAGGTTGTCGAGCCAAGCTTTGCGACGCAAGCTTCTGTGTTTCTGTTTGGTGGTTTTGAAAGTAGATGGTGGATGGCCGATGCCTATTTTCACACTTTAGTGAAATTTATCACTAGTTATACACTAATCCAATTGATTCGTGGCTTCTTCCTTCTGTATATTTTATTTAAAAAATGCAATGCATATGAAACTTAGACGTGAAAATCTTTCGTAAGTAATATTTAGAATAACTAATCTTTCAACGTAACAATAACTACAAATATCGCAAGAACAAGTTAGAAGAAAATTATTTGTAAGGCTTGAACTTAATTCCAAACATAAGCCGCGAAAACAAATATTATTTTCTCCCGTTTCTTAGGTTCAGGCCTGCCATGGCTCGCAAAAAATCGTACGACGCATCACGCAAATACCAAACGGAATAGGAGACCCCATGGTTGACCATGAGAGAGTCAGGAGGGGTGGATAGCTAGAGGTCAGCATAGCCCAAGTTCAAAGCGCCAAACTGTAGCGTGGCTGTACTTCACGCAGCCGGGCATCGATCTGCACGGCTTTCGACACAGAGCGCCCATCACAACAGCGCCGTTCTGTCAGAGGCACTGTTTCACAGCGCCGGAGCACAACTGGCCGGAGCGCAGCAGGCCTTACCTACAACGCCTACTCCTAACCTAACCTAACGTAAGGCGTTGTAGGTAGGGCCTGTTGCGCTCCGGCCAGTTGTGCTCCGGCGGTGTGAAGCAGTGGCTGTGTTGTGCAAAGCGGTTTTACTGTTAGCCGGAGTTACACACAGCTCATTGATCTGAGGCTATGTGTAGATATTGCATGCTGATGGTTGGCGGTAGGCCCAGGGCCTGCTTACGAGTCAATTTTGTTACCCATGGCTGCGCTCCCGTCAGGAGACCCAATCTCTCATTCCGCAAAGTTCGTCAAGCCGGATATATGCACTTTAAAAACTATAAAAAATACATTTCTTTTTGCTAACCAACGTTTCTGACGAATAGTTTAATAAAATTTGAAAGTATTGATATGTTTTCGAAAAAATAAAATTTCTGGTATTTTGAGCTAGGCAATCTGGTATTCTCGACGAGAAAAAAATTGGCAACACTGGTCGCTGACCACCAGTCCACCACTCAGACAGCCAGGCACTCAGCCACTCACCAGTACGGCAGTACCGGTGCTAAGCTAACTGCTACCGACTACCGTAGAACCGGAACGGTTATCCCTGCGGCTGCAGCGATTGCGCACCACCTAATTCAAAAGCGACCTATTCCAGTCCACGCTAGAGGGAAAAACATGTGATTCAGATTAACAGCGTGTTTGAACTCCTTAGATGAAAGTTTATGCATAACGTGGCGCTTGGACTGGCTGCTAGTGCTGGCAAATGTGGCATTTATGGCGATTACAGTGTAAGCCTTGCTGCCTTGGTCTTTATGCCATGTCCTACTCTCAGTACTTTGGCACTCACATAATTGCTTACCGTCAATCACATATACCTAACTTAAAGTGGTATAGACAGACACAGGGTGGCCCAGTGGTTACCGTTCAGAGTACCAAGATTGGAGCAGAGAGGCGTGGGTTCAATCCCAGCTCTGTGTGCCAGTTTCTGGTCAGAATTGGCAAGGAGGCCGGGCGGTTAAGCACAGCAGAATTGTAGGTTTGTACTTACAGTAGCAGTGAGTAATGTGAGTTGCGAGTTTGAGACTGCAGAATGCTGTGAATGTTCTACAATGTTAAGAATCCGCAACAGCCTCACAGGCCTATGGCCTACTAAACGCTGAAACCGCTACTATTATTATATTATTATTATTATAAGTCACCAGCCGCACTGTGCACTTGTCTGCGCCTATGATGGCCATTAGCCCCTATGCAGTCGGTATCTGCTTAGTGCCTGAAGTTAGTGGTGAGTCTGTCCTACTCTGCAGCAAAAAAAAAAAAAATATTCACCATATTAAAAAATTTTACTTACCATAGAAGTTGCACTTCAACTTGCACACAGGTGTTGGCTTAATAACATGATTGATGGAATTTGCCTATCTCAGACTCATTCCAAATAAATGGCAGCCATTAAAATTCTCAATTCTGCATGACAGGCCAGAGGCCTAGTATGGAATATATCTACTTGGCAAGCCGCGACTGAATTTTTCGAGCCGTGGTTTTATGGATTTGCCAGCCGTGATTCCATTTCTACGAGCCGTGATTCTATTTCACCGAGCCGTGAATTCCATATCTCGGCCATGAAAAGCCATTTACGAGGTGCGAATGCGAATTTATTTACAAAGTTTATGCACGTGTTACCCCAAATCTCTAATTTTACCCTTAAACAGTCAAACGGCAACAATAAAATTTGTCTCTACTGTAAGTTCAGCACGTGTTAATATACAGTCTGACCGCTTTGACATGACCGCAAGTCCGCAACTATGCGCGATCTTCAACAAACGTTTTGTTTATTTGTTTACATTACGATGTTTATGTTTTTTCTGCAAGATATTTTTGGCAGAAACTGTAAAGCAATGCAGATTGCGGAAGTTGAAAATTTTATGAAATGACACGTTTGCAAAGTGCAAACCGCGATTTTTTAATCAAACAAAAATTTATGACATTTGAGCCGCGAGATTTCATACCTACTGAAATTATATGACATTTGAGCCGCGAGATTCCATACCTACTGAAATTATATGATATTAGAGCCGCGATATTTCAGATAAAAATAGGACTTTTCCAGACTAGATGTGAGTATTACGTCTGTTCCTCCACAAACTGCTCGTGTGGCGTGCGTGGCAGCGCGACGTAGAATTGATGGCCGGGATTGCGCGAAGAGAATCAATTTTCATTACATTGCGCCAACTGTGCACAGCAATAGCTTAAAAAAAGTGAAAATGCGCGAGAAAATTCACCGAAAACATACATCATCCTGAGTGTGGTTTGTATAGGAAGAATATTATGGTTTGAGAATTTTAAATATGTCTGTGAATATATTAGGAATCCTTTAAGTATACTTGTATTTGTAATTTGGCTATTTGCCAAGGTCAACTATCAACTTTGACATGTTTTTCAACATTCTCACTGGGTGACGGGGTGACGACTGACGTGCACCGTCTCTCTTTGGATCTTAACATTTTCCTGCCCGACGGCCCTCACCAAGTGTTTTGGCAAAATGGCAATAGTATGGCGCACAATAGGCCTAGTATGACATCAGTCACACTCACATCACTATTTCAACCAATCAACAAATGCATGGAAGTTGGAACTAAGAGTCTAAGACAAAGCTTAATACAAAGGAAAAAGTTGAGAAGTGTCGGAATTACCCACGACAGAATGGAATTCTAATATTGATGGTTCATATATTATTCCCAATACAGTGAGTCAGACTGTCAGAGTCTCTGCCCTCTGGGATATTCGCTTCAGGATGTGGTGGCGACGGCGTAAGCTGTAAAGCTCCTAATATTTAAAGCAAAAAGATGTCATGGGCTGGTTACTGATGGATGGCTTAATCCGCGGGTGATTGGTGGTCGTCTGGAAATATGCTAGGAATTTCTTACAGGGCTGATTGGCGCACAAATTTGATGGTGCATGGCTGCGAGCCCTCCGACGGACCGACAGGCGTCCCGTCATTTGGACACACCAAAATCGATTATCCGCACTTGTGGAATTCGCAAGATAATATGTTTCCTACCAACACATAGCATGCGTAATTTCAGATACGTATCCTGACATTTCTTTTTTCCTGACATTTTTTATGCTAAAAGATTTCTTGACGCAATTTCTCCAAGCTCATATGTATGATTGGAGCTTTAAGGATAAATAATATCGATTTTTCCAAGAGGTTGCGAGTGTAGAGATTCGATAAGTGGATAAAAGAGCAAATATTTATATCTATCTTATTCAAATAGTACCATTTTACATAATACAATGCAAATTTTTATGT